TCCTATATGGCTAGCTTTTTCACCCGAAATCACAAATTTAATAGTCATAGCTGATTCATCTATTTTCATTGCTAATAAATTACACCAAAATTTGTTTATAAGGAGCCCTGGTAGTGCAGTGGTTAAGCGCTAGGCTGCTAACTGAAAGGTTGGTGGTTCGAACCTACCAGCTGCTCCACGGGAGAAAGATGTGGCAGTGGCTTCGGTAAAGATTACAGCTCTGAAAAACGCTATAGGGCAGTTCTACTCTTTCCTACAGGGTCACTATGAGTCGGAATCCCTCTATTGATGACAGACGTCTGGGTTGTTACCACTTTATGGCTCTTATGCACAACGTGGGTATGGCACTTCATGCACAGGTGTGCTGGGGTGCATGAGCACTCACTTCTCTGGGTTACACAACAAGGAGTGGAATTTCTGTGTCCCGTGTTACACCAATCCAAGTATTTCTGAGCTAAAGAAAAAAAGTCGAAAAGGGAAGAATCCTCCGAATCAGAGTATGGGAGGAGAGATGACAGGCTGTTCCTGTGGGAAGAAATGGGGTGGGGGGGGGTGAGACACGGGGGGCGGGGGGCGGTGCATGATAGCGCTGGGGGGTGGGGTTCCAGAGACACAGGCTGCCATCTGTGACTAGTCAATAGAGCTACCTCGGTATTCAGTTCTCAGTTCTCCTCCTGTCCCCCTGCTCTCATATGCAGCCCCCCACCATTTCCCCACCCCTTTCCTCCTCCTCATCCTTGTCATCCTCCTCTCTTGTCTTTTTGCTACGGCTCTTCTTCCTTCTCCCTGCTTCTCCTTCCCCCCGCTTCTCCTTCCCCCCTACACCGTGGAGGTCGACCTAGAATGGGGTGACCCACTCTGAGAGGAACATGTGGGAATACTTTCCTCCAACAGGAGAAGCCCGGATATTCCTGTATGATCAGAACCCTTTTGTGAGGAGACCGAAAGAGGGGGCTCCACCTGAGCTGCTGAGGCTCCACAGCCAACCTCCGAGGTGGGGCAGCGAGGGCATTAAGACATCCCCGGGGGTGGTGTGACGAAAAGTCAGGAACCTCTGGTCCCACACCGCTATCATCTGACCTGCACTGTCCCTAAAACTTCGAAATCAGCGGGCACCCGGATTCTTTACAAGCCGGGTTCTAAGGGGAAGAACCACAGCACCCCCTCGTGGCCCTGAAAAGATGGCACAGAGGGATCCACGTGGCCTCAGAAGGGGCAGGCACCTGGCAGCCACGCAAGGGCAGGTCCCCAGAAAACCAACCCAAATGCCCCGTTTAGACCTAACTGAAGGTTCATAGTCCAAGGCTAACGGGGTCCCAGATGCACTGTCTCTGCTGCCGCATTCCCTTCCTTACAGCGAGCTCTTCACCTCTGAGGTGATTTCTGCAATCAAACACAGCCTTTGGAGAAAACAAGCCTCACATCTTAAAAAAAAAAAAAAAAAAAACTAAAGAGACTAGTACTTGTGCAATCCTGTGACCATCAACAGAGCATTTCTAGAGTTCACATTTGGGCCTTGTCCTGATTTGCTAGTCTAGGTTGTGCCTTGAAGTAGAAACCTGCCTTAATGTTACTAAACAGTGTTGAAATTAGAGAAGATATTCTCTTAGTTCCACTCTTAGTTGGCACCTGAGTTAACAGTGTTGCAGTAGGTAGAATAATGGGCCTGCTGCCCAGGATGTCTGCTTCATAATCCCTGGAATCTGTGATTACATAGCAAAAGGGAATCTGCAGATGTGATTAAATTAAAGACCTTGAGATGGGGAGATTATCTTGAATTATCTGGATGGGACCAATGGAATCACAAGGGTCCTTAACAGTGGAACCCACTGCTGTCGAGCTGATTCCGACTCATAGCAACCCCACAGGGTTTCCAAGGCTGTAAATCTCTATGGAAGCAGACTGTCACATCTTTCTTCCGTGGAGCCGCTGGTGGTTTTGAACTGCCAACCTTTCAGTTAGCAGTCAATGGCTTTAAACACTGTACCAGTGGAAGAGGGAGGCAAAAATTGAGGTCAGACTGATGAGATGTGAGAAGGACTTCATCTGCTGTTCTGGTTTTAAAGATGGTGGAAGGAAGCTACAAGCCAAGGAATGTGGGCAGCCTGAGACACTGGAAAAGGCAAGGAAACAGATTCTCCCTAGACCCTCCAGAATGAATGGAAGGCAGACTGCCGACACCTTGATTTTTGTTCAGTAAGATGTGTGGTGGACTTCTAACTTACAGAACTGTAAGACAATAGATACGTGTTGTTTTAAGCCACTAAGTTTGTGGTAACTTGTTAGGGCAGCAGTAGAAACCAATACAAGCATCAATGTAAGTTCATTCACTTTTGCAGTAATAACATCCAAGGGAAATAATAAACCCTGCATAAACATTGTGGGTCTTGGCAGGTCAGGAGGTATTTTTATGTGTTTACTTAAAAGTGTTCCATTAGGTACCTGCCATCGTTTTTCCTTCTAGTCTCCTCTGTAGGATCTCACCATCTCCTCTGCACAGGGCTTGGCATGGTTCTTATTTGAATTATGGTAAATTAGATGACATTGGTTGTCATACAGACAGATTTATTTATTTATTTTAAAGAACAAGCTGTTTCTGTCACAATGAGGGAAAGAATATAATTTACAAATGTCAAATATTAGAGAATTCTCCTCCCAAAGATAATTTTTGTAACCATTTTTATTAAGGCACAGCACTACTTTTAAACATTTCACAAAGGGTGGATGGAATACAAGGGTGGCTTTTAAGATTTGTCCCAAAAAGTAACTTGTGACTAGATCCTGAACAGATCTGACACTTACATGATGTAATATGTTGTGACTTTCATAAATGTTTGTAGTTAATAAGATAAATTTCATAGAAAGAATATTTGAGTTGTCCATCGAAACTGATTGTGTTATCAAGGTCTCCCAGCCCTAGCAGCACAGGGATGAAGGAGAATTGCTGGAATACTTGAACCAGAGGGCAAGAAGTCCTTAAATTTTGCTACTTCATCATTAAATAATAGTTTAATGGACTTTGTAACTATTTTCTGTTTCTGCCAGAGAGTTCCTCTATATTTGATAGCGAAAGGCACTCATGGAAATACTTAAACAACTGAACATAAAAGCAGATGCTGAGTTCTCTTGACCTCACTATGAAAGTAGGGTATGTCTCTACCTCCTGCTCTTGATGTATCTTTTTGTGTTGTTGGTGGTGGTGGTGGTGATGGTGGTTGGTTTTGTTTCTATTGTTGTTTGTTTTTATTTTTATTTTTATTTTTATTTTTTTAGCTGTTTCTAGGAAATAATTGTGGAGTGGTAGCTTTATTTTAATTGTGAAAGGCAAAAGACCATAAGTAAGCACTTTTCCTAAGGAATATTTTAGGATCTTGATATCATCATTTATGGTACGATCATTATGTATGTCAATAAAATTTTCTTAGTTAAGGTTAAGCAAACTTATTTATAGTTTTATTCAATGTCACAGAACAATGTTTTTTAGTTTGTGATCTACGGCCCACCTGCATGAGAATAACCTGGGTTGCTTATGTAAAATATGCAGATTCTAGGGCCGCAGGCCAACTAAATATCTTGGGCTTGAAGTCCAGGAAGTAGCTTCTCCAACCTCCACAGCTGTCTCCACAGTTGCGCTAGAGTGGATTCTGACTCATGGAGACCCCATGTGTGTCAGAGTACTCCATGGAGTTTTCAACAGCTGAATTTTTTGGAAGTAGATCACCAGGCCTTTCTTCCAAGGTGCATCTGGGTGGACTCAAACCTCCAATCTTTTGGTTAGCAGCCAAGTCCATTAACTGTTTGCACTACCAAGGGGTTCCCCACAGCTGTCCAAGCACACCAAATTGAAGAACCACTCTATATTTTTAGTCTAGGAATTCTTGCAAAATGACAAAGAGGGAAATACTTATTCTCTTAAACTTACACTTCAAGCATTAGACTGTGAGCTTCTTAATGACAGTTTGTCTTTCCTATTCTTATCACTCAGCCCAGGGACTGGCACAGAAATGGGAAACAAAGCCAAGCAGAGAAAAACTAGTTCTTTATACACGTTTTGCTTTAATAGCCACCAAAACACTGTTTTACTTCCTCTCACTGACCCTGTCCACCAGTTATGTTAACCTTCAACGTATCACTATAGCAACATATATAAATATCTATCATACATTTATACATCCATCCACAAATCCTACAAGCACTGTGAAGACACAAACTAGGCTATAGCACAACTGGAGGCCTCTCACCTGCCACTTAAAATGAGCACGGGTTTGCTTCCCGCAAGACTTTCAATGGGCTTGTCCTGGCCATCAGTGCCCAGTTTCCTCAAGGGAAATTGGGATGGCAGAAGGGGATAGTATATTTAGAGTATGGTCAGTACAGTCTGGAGATCATAAAGAAAAGAAATAGGAGGTGCTGTACCCAGCAGGAGACGGCCTCTGGGAAATCACTGCTTTCACTGTGTGTTCTCAGAGCACTGAGGTGCTGCAGTGCTGGCTGAGTCCATCCTGACTGTGATCCAACTGAGCGGGCCCAGGGTGGGTGTGGGACATGGGAGGGGCTCAGGCAGCTTCTGCCAACAGTTGTCCATCGGCCCCACTGCTCAGTACTGTGCTTTCAGGACTGCCTGAGGAGCTCCGTGCTGGGACACACAACCGACCCGAGGAAGCAGGCTGCTGTTTCCCCTGAGTGGAGCATCTGAGGACAGGTGCTGAAGCGACAAACTTGGGCTGTAGCTCATTCCAAATGCCGCCGAGGCTGTTCAGAAGCAGTGTCACAAGGTCCTGCATGCATACTAGGTGTTTCTGGCTTCGTGCTGGGACGGGTGGTCTTGGCTGTTGGCTGACAGTATTCCTTAAATGCAAAGAAGGCTTCCTGCTGTCCCTCATCCCACCAAGACAGATCTCTGACTCTTCTGGACCCTCCAGCAGGTTTGCAGGAATGGGGCCCAGACCCTCCTCAGTAGATAGGTAGTTGCGCGAAATGGGGGCAGGCCCATCCTTCCTGCCGTTTTAAGGACCTCTGGTGGCTTCGCTTCTTGCATGGCTCCTGGAAGGCAAGGGTCACAAGACTGGAGTGCACAGTAGAGCCCGTAGGGATTTTACCTGGAGGCAGAAGAGACAGTATCACAGTGAGAATCTATGGTCAGGCTTCGCTAAGGGCTACCGGGCTGCAATGAGCACTGAGTGGTGACAGGGCAAGGAGTACGGTGACAGACAGTTAGGAGGATAAGCTCAGGGGATGTGCTGCAGTCTGGAGGGCCTACTGGTGTCCCCAGGTTACAGAAAGAGCCTCCCCCACCTCATGCTGGTAATGTCCCTGCTCAAAACTGCTGCAGATTAGAGGGCCGCATCCCACCACTGCCTCTTTGGGGGCCAGTCCACTCTCAGTCCACTTTGTCTGAAGCAAAATGACAGCCTTTGTCACCCCCCATGAACAGAAGTGCTTAGCATGAAACATGCACACATGATACAAGCCTGTTGTGGGAAGGAGAGGACATTCTGCAAGAAAATCCCTCTATTAAGTTTATGTCCATTTTACCTTCACAAGGAGAGGGAGAGGCCAAGTCAGCAAGGCCTCAGAGATCATCTAAGTCTAGTTCCACCCTTTACAGGTGGTGGGCAGCAGAATCACAGAGGTGAGGTGACGGGGGCCAGCCAAAGCCACACAGCCAGTTAGCGACCAGCCTGGGGTTGGAACCCAGGCCTCAGGCCCTTTCCAGTTCTCATGGAAGCAGGGAGGAAAGCTTCCCAGCTAGGACTTGAGGCTGTTGGGTTACCTTTGCTGAGACAGGAATAAGGCTTTACAGAAGAAATCTTGTAAGTGTTCCTCTAAAGAGGCTCAGGAAAGAAAGGAATCATTGGAGAAAAATAAAAGGGAATTAGCAAAAAAGAAAAAAAAAAAAGGCAGCGTTAAATCATGGCCCAACCTATTTTCACACTGTGGACATCAATAATCTCACAGGTTACAATTTAGAAAAATTTCTAGGAATAGGCTCAATGGCTTATAGCAAAGATTTAAACCCAAGTTAAAAGCTGTAGTTTCTGGGTTTTAAGCCATTTCATATATCTCAGTTTTTCTTCAAAATATTTGCTACAGAATGACTAAGATGTTTTAAGTAAATGTAGGGAATGTCTGGCATACATATAAAATCTTTCCCCTTGAGATTCAATTTTTGTTTTTGTTTTTTTTTTTTAAATCAAATTCTTTTTTGATCAATAAGACCCAAGAGCTCTCCTATCTGATGTTTCTTGAAGAAAAATAAATAACAAAATCAAATTGTTGGTGTCAACTCAATAGTGCACAGTGAATCAATTTATTAGGTGGCACCTTGCTTTTAATTTTTCATACAGAAGCACAGGAAATGCCAGAACACATAAGCGGCTCTGGACCTCTTTCCTGAAAGCTAATTCACAGGCTAACTCCTCTCTGTCCTCTGCCCTCAAGTATCAACTGAAGTGAATTTTCTCCCATCTCCTGACTTGGCATAGAGAAGGGGAAACTGGAACAGAAAGACGAGAAGATGATGACAATGTGGGAGCGGATAAACATGTCAGGAGAGGGGGCTGACTGAGGGGAAGATGGAGATGGAAACCAGAAGCATGCTTGTCGAGGACCTATCATCCTAGAAGAGCCCAATAATCCCCTGGAAGGTCAGAGCGGGCGTAGGACCACCTGCGGCCTCTGATGATCGATGGTGATGGTTTGGGTGACTCTGTGGCTCTGACTGGGCCAGTAGTTCCCTTACCTCTAAATTAGTCCTTGCCTTCTTCAAAACATCATGTGTCCTGGTCACTGAAACAACAGAACAGCCCAACAAAGCAGAAATTACCAGCTGAGCCCACACTTGCTTTGGCAGGTGTTTTCTAAAGTATTTCTTTTTGGCCACTCAGCTTGGGGGTCTCTCACTGTCCCCAATCCTCCCCGCCCTCTGCATCTACAATTACTGATGGCATAGGGGGTTCAGGGACATCACATCAGCCTCCCCACTCCTGACATCCCCCAGCCCCTCTGGTCACTGTTCCTCAGCAGCACAAGTTGGGAGTCTAGATCACCTCTCCTGGCTCTGGGCACCTACACTGGCTGAAGATAAACTGCTCCAGGCTCTCCTTCTGCTGGTTGGCAGTCTTCAGTCGCTCAGTTGTGCTCTGAAGGAGGCTCTCATGTTTGGAGAGTTTGGTTCTCAGTTCCAGAAGTTCCCTTTTCATTGACTCTCCCTGGGGAAGAGGGACAGGCTCTCCATCAAAGGTCAAAAGCCTAAAGTGCCCCGTGCTTTGTGGCTCTTTATAATCCAAAGTAGGATTCCCCAATTTTCTCAACTTTTTCTGGACTGGATTTCCTCCACTAGTGCCTGAAAGCCCTCTAGCTGGTGGCAACTTAGGATGAGGACACTGCGCGGGAATATTGAGAGCCTGGAAGCCCCCCGTGGATTGGCACAGGTCTGCACTCCAGCTGCTGAAGAGAACATGACTCCAGGTCAGGACTGAAACTTCCAACTGTGAACAACAGCTCAGCTTTAGTCCTGACATCAGTTATATTACTCCTGCACACAAATAAAACTTGGAAGCTCAGGAATATTATGCCTGACCTGAGGACACTTTGCAAGTTTATAAATATTTCTGCCAACCTGAAGAGGCAAAGGCCTCCTCCCTGGAATTAACAAAGTTGGGTCGCCTAATTTCTCTGAGACATAAATCTGGAGTTAGAATACCTGGGGAGGGGTTCTGGAATCAGCCTACTGAAGGCTCTGCCCATCACAAAGCCAGCCTGGGATCTGAGAGGACCTTGAGGGGGCTGACTTTTCCCAGGCCAGGGCAGACAGGCACATTTAAGTGATATGTTGGGATTCTAGCTACAGGAGGCTCCCAGTCTCATGGTGACATGGTGACATTCTGAAATCATGTTTGACTATGCAGACCTGAGGGTTGGGGGAAGGAGGTAACGAAGCTTTAATACATCCCTTAATTTCAGCTCAGCCAAATTTCAGAGAGTTAAAGATTGCCAGGGTTATTATGTCTCTGCCTTCTCCACATCTTTTCCTTTTCCTTTTCCTCATTGATTTTGTGCCCCAGGGTCAGGCGGTGGGAGGAGAAGGGGTGTAGTCAGAGCCGCACTGAGCTCAACCCCCATGAGTCAAAAGTGTCTCTTCAAGGATGCTCCCCTAAGGCCTATTTTTCCCAGATCCCTGTTTAGCTCCTGGTCCTCACAAATGCTGTGGGACTGAGGAAAGAGAACCATATCAAGAGGGAGAAGAGTTGGGCTTGAACCCAGTAACAATGGCTTCTTACCACTTACCACTTTGCCAGGCTGAGCAGGGTTGCAGGCGTCTGGCAAAGCCGCACGCCAGAACGTGGTGAGGAGGGAGGTGGACTCCTCCAAGGTGTGGTGCAGGGCACGGGTGCTGCTCCGAAGCTCATGGGCACGCTCACTGCTGAGCATCTGCACAGGGGGAGTAGATGGACCCAGCTAGGCTGATAGCTCACCCTTTTTTAGTCTTTTGTAACCCGCCCCACCCAGCACAGGGCTGAAGCTTCCTTGGTGGGTAAGGCACTGCACGTGGGTCTGCATGGACGGGGAACCCTACTAACCTGGCCGCCCAGGATCTCTCACAGCAGCAGTGATCTCCCACTTGAAAGAATTCATTTGACTCCAACTTACTCTCACTCTCTCTTTAAGCTTCCTAGTAGCAGCTCAAGGCTATCCAGTCTAAGATCCCTATTTTTTTTTCTCACTGGTACCCCTTTTTCTTCCCCAAATCACACCTTATGCTTTGACTGAGCTGAACCATTTGTGCCTCTGAGGACTGAGGTGCTGCACTCTTTCCCTGAATGCCATTCTCCACCTAGAGAACCTACTCGGCTTCAAAACTCATCCCCCTTGTGACGTCCGCTGTGAAACTGTGATGTTCCTTCCCTGGTATAAATGATCACATCTGCATTTATGCCTTCACAATACAGAAGGCAACTTCTAAAGCTATGCTTATAGTACCTTACTGTGTTCATTTACATGAATGTGCATCTTCCCCTCTAGGGTGGCATCTACTTGGAGGCAGAGGCTGTCCCTGGGCATTTGAGCCTCTCTCGTGGCCCTGACAGCACAGCAACTGGTGCCTGGTCTCACTCACAGGGGAGCACTCTGAGAATCTATGCTGACTGCTTTCCTGCTCCTGCTCAGCTGAACAAGCAGACACCATGGCTGCCAAGCTAACTGCCCCTTCCACACATGCGGACTATATGGATGCCATTCCCTCAACTTCTGTCCATTTAAATCAGTGGTTTTATTCTGCCCACAGATGGGCATGTGCCAGTGTGACTGTAATAGATAATAAGGCACCAAAGGGTGCTTAGCCCAGCCCTGTGTACACGTGGACACTTAGCAAACGCTCTACTGAGGATGATGACAATGGTATACAGGCTTTTCTGTGGTACTGAGGGGAAATATCAAGTCAGCTCCACCTGGAACAGAGTTGAGTTTACAGTGAAACAGGAGATAGAGAAGAAAGGGTTGGATAGGTTAAAAAAATGAACCCTCAGCTGATGCAAGATGTGGAGGATAAGAAAAATAGTGGGAGAAGGAGCTAAAATCAGAAGAAAGGGCAACCAGGAAAACATGCACCTAAGAGCCGTAGATGGGGTTACCTCTGTGCCTTGAGCTTCAAGGCCAGGGAAGTTGCATGCTGATCTCATGAGAGACACTATCTTTTTGACCAGCAGTTTTCCCTCTCCAATCTGTTGTCTTAGGGCACTGTAGTCATCGATGTGGCCAATGACATGGCGACCATGCTTATTGGCAAAGGAGCCATCAGTAGCATCACCCTCTAGCTTGGGAGGGTTCTTCACTACTGGAGAAGCATCTAGACCCAACTCTGAAAAAGAAAACCAGAGCAAAACAGAATCCAGTGCTATTCATAAACATATCCTCAGTTCACTTCAATCAAAAAGAGATATCAAATAGTGATAGAGGCTGCCGGAAATAAGAAAGGCAGTCTTGGAAAGTACAAGGGTAGGGTGAAGTCCATAGATATATTTTGGTTATTATATTTTTATTCTTTCTTACATTATCTCACAATGATAAAATTGCTAGGATGTGATTATATTCTTACTGACAAATGAAATATTCACTAAAAGTATTATTAATAGATAATAATTTTCAGATAGAGAAGATACAGATAAAGTAATCAAGCTGGATACAGAGAGCACTATCAAGAGTGGAGAGATGACAGTGCAATGAAGCAAAACTGAGCAGTAGGAAAATCACAGGAGGAAGAATAATAACCCACAAAGACAGCCACAGAAGGTGCAATGTAGGGCTAAAGGCCTTGGGGCATGCGGAGAAGAATCTCCAAATTCAGATAATATGTATACAAACAACCAAAAGTTGCTTGTATTACTATGTTTCCATCATCAGTTCCTGAGTCCTTCCGTTCCCATATTTACCATTTGTCCTACTGAAGACGGAAGTCTCTGAGCCAGGAGCAGAGGAAGAACTGGGGAAGACCAGAGTTGGAGAACTCATGCCAACATCCCGAACCGGAGGGGAAGACACTGAATCTAGGGAGTGAAGACCATGGTCACTGTCAGGAACCCTGAAGTACACTGCCCACCAACCATATGCACAGCCTTGTCTTCACTGTTGAAGGCAGCATGGCTCACCTCTTACATGAGTATCAGCCATATACCATAATCAAAAGCAAAAGTAAATGAATCTTTTAGTTTGGTATGTTTCATTCTTCAGAGCAAAACGATGTTCCTTTAACTGAAAGGTATTCCATGAGAAAGCAACTTCTAGTTTGATAAATTATTAGGTATATTTTTCTAAACCTAGTTTTGAGTATCATTTTGCATGTAGTGTCTAATACAATGCCTTGTAACTAAATATCAATATGCATAAATATACATGCTATATGTGTTAAACATGTTGAATCCAAAAATGAGTGGATGTATGGGGGATTAAACTCAGTATTCTATCACCATTCTGGTGAGCTGACTGGAAACAATTTAGCAGTATGAGAAGAAAAGGAGACAGAAGCACTGGTGAAGACCAGGAAGAAATCCTACAGTGGAGGAATGGGAAAATATCACAAAGAATATTAAAGCTACCCTGCTCAGGTAAATACAGCCTGGAGTCTGGTTTCCTGCTCGGGCTTCTGTCCTGGGTAAGAAGGAGAAGCAGTGACTGAGCCAATGGGACTGAGTGTTGGCTGATGTCATGGGAAACCTAGGTAGTGGGAAGAGAAGGAGACGTAACTGAACACTTCAACCATCACAGCCCCACCATGTAGGGCAGGCCATGCACCTGACAAGTGTGAGCAGTTTCTACTTGCTAGGTGCTATGCTGGGAGTCATAGCAACATGATCACGTGAGGATCACCTTCACTTGAGAGATGAGTCATTGTCTGAGAAATGAGCATCTAATCAAGCTAAGGAGAATAAAGATTAACAGGAAAACCAAGTACGTGCAGAAGTGGTTCCTGATTAGAACAAAATTAAGAATATGCCACGGAGGCGAGTGGATAGGGTGAATTAATGGTGCATCAAAAGGAAAAGAAAAGAACAGGAAGAAGAAATGGAACATGTAAGAGACTGGGGATTGGGAAGAGTATTAGCATTCACATTGAAATCTGGGGAAGTGAGATTGATGAGGGATGCTGAGAAGAGAGGGAGAGAACTGGATAAACATGCCCACCTGAAAAGACAGGCAGGGGGCAGGCAGAAGAAAGGGACAACAGCCTCCTGGAATAAAGGTGCCCGCCACCCAGTACTTTCCCACCAAATACAGTCCCGATCTCCTTAGACACAGGAAGATGTTGCCACACAGCTAAGTGCCTCATGCATTAGGGAAAGGGAACCATGAACAGATGAGTGGATTAAAAAACTATGGTACATACACACAATGGAATACTACGCAATGATAAAGAACAACGATGAAGCTGCAAAGCATCTCACAATATGGATGAATCTGGAGGGCATTATGCTGAGTGAAATAAGTCAATCACAAAAGGACAAATATTGTATGAGACCACTACTATAAAATCTCATGAAAAGGTTTACACACAAAAAGAAACAATCTTCAATGTTTACAAGGGAGGGGAGGGGAGGGGTGGGAAGGAAAAAAGCTGAAAAAAAAAAAAAAGAAAGAAATCAAATGACGCATTGCATTGGGCAAATCTGCTGCAAAAGATCTCTTTAAAGTGTTAAAAAGCAAAGATGTCACTTTAAGGACTAAAGTGTGCTTGACCCAAGCCATGATGTTTTCAGTCGCTTCATATGCATGTGAAAGCTGGACAATAAATAAGGAAGACTGACGAATTGATGTCTTTGAATTCTAGTGTTGGTAAAGAATAGTGACTATACCACAGACTGTCAAAAGAACAAATAAATCTGTCTTGGCAGAAGTACAGCCAGAATGCTCATTAGAAGTCTCACATAATTTGGACATGTTATCAGGAGGGATCAGTCCCTGGAGAAGGACATCATGCTTGGTAAAGTAGAAGGTCAGAGAAAAAGAGGAAGTCCCTCAAGGAGATGGATTGACACAGTGGCTGCAACAATGGGCTTAAGCATAACAACAATCATGAGGATGGCGCACAACCAGGCAGTGTTTCATTCTGTTATACATAGGGTCACTATGAGTTGGAAATGACTCGATAGCACCTAACAACAATTATTGGGCGATTCTTATTGTGCCAGGCACTTATATATTATTTCATTTAATGCTCCAAATACCAGCAGTTTCCTTTGAGTCATGACGACCCCATGTGTGTCAGAATAGAACTGTGCTCCATATGGTTTTCAATGGCTGATTTTTCAGAAGTAGAATGCCAGGCCTTTCTTCCGAGACATCTCTGGGTGGACTTGAACTTCCAGCCTTTCAGCTGGCAGCCAAGTGTGTTAAACATCTGCACCACCCAGAGACTCCAATAACCATCCAAGGTATATATTATTATTATTCTCATCTTAGAGATGTGGAAATCAAGGCTTAAATACTTGAGAGTTTAAACAACTTGCCCAAAGCACACAACCTATAAGTGGCCCCAGAATGTGAAGCCAGGTCTGACCCTAGGTCCCAAGCTCTCACTCAGCGTGCTGTATTAAGCATCTCTGATTTCAACCTGATCCAAAAGCATGGGAGAGGCAAGATTATCCCTTCCACCTTAGACATCCTGGTTACCTGTCCCCTGGCCAAGTGCTTCCTAATTCCTTTTCCCTTCCTACCTTGGAAGAGTAGCTGCTTGTCCCCAGGGTCCGTGTTGGCTGGGAAGTTCTGGGTAACAGAAGAGGGGCTGAGGTGGGCTTTGTCTGCTCTGCCATCCAGCTGCTGCTCCAGCTGCAGCCGCAGACAATTGTTCACCTGAATGCTCTGCTCCAGCTGCCCTCTCAAAGCTCGTACCTCTGCCACCAGGTGGCTCAAGTCACTGCTCAAGGGGACTTGGTGACAGGCATCCCAGTTGTAACCTGAAAGAAGACGAGGGCCTGGTGGCACCAATCCAAGGACATTCAAGCACTTGTCAGAAGCACTCTGCCTTCTCTTTCTTCTGAGGACCCCACTGTATTCTCAGAGTTGTGGACAACACACAATGGCAATACATCTGTGATAGAGATATCACGTTTCCTGTGAGGGGCCAGAGGCACACTCAGATGGCAAGCACCCACACAGAAGTTTCCCTGAAGTTCACATGCCCACATGCATCCAGAGGGCATGTGGTTTGCAGAGTAGGTCAGGGTCTTATTTCATCTCAATATTAACCTTAGTCCCATAGGCTAGAGAGCAGGGTCTTCCCAGCAGGAGGTCAGCATTGGACTAGAAAATGACAGGGACTGAAGGGGAAGGAGATTTGATGATCACCACACTCAGGATCAAAGAGGAGAAGGGGGAAGGGGCATCAGGTCTATTGGGAGCATGTAAGAATGGGAGTTGGCACCAGAGACCAGGGTCATAATGATGTGAATTTTTCAACTTCCCCATGTGTTTGACCTCCACTCACCACACACAGTCTATTTCTACATAGTGAGGGATACATACACCAAAGAAATATTCTACAAGGCCACAATCCCTTATCTTAAAGCCTTGGGGCCAAATGCATTTCAGAATGTTTCTGTTTTTTAGCTAGGTAATAGGACACATATACCATATATTACATAAAACAACTAGTTACATCTGAGGCCACAGACCTTATTCAAAACATTAGTATTTCTACAATGAACTATGTGAATGTTCTGGCTAAGTGGGATAAATGAAGACTACAAATAGCCTTTTATCACTTCAGTTCAGTTTTGTCACCAAATGAATACATAAGAAAGCTTTAGATTCAGAGATTTTATTAGATTTTGGAATTAAGGATGAGGGATTATGGACCTTTAGTGGTAGTAGCTTTGAAATGAATCCTAAATGACCCGTAAAAGGGAAAGCAGGCATGAAAAGGGAGGTCATTCAGGATAAAGAAGGGGCTTCCAGGAGCTAACCCCAAAGTTCCATGATGCTCCAGCCTCTCTTTCTTCCCCTAAATCCAAATTCTCATGAAATTTTGCTTATTCTTTCTTGAAAATGTTGTTCATCTATTCATTCTCTTTATCTTCCCAATAGCACCTCAAGGCAGGATGTTCATGGGGAGGGAGCTGGGGAGTGGAAGGGAGAGGAATACATACCTTTCAACCCCTTCTTGGAATTGCCATAAAGGGCCTCATAGATCTGTAGCTCAGACTGAAGGGACTGGAAGAGCTGCTGTTTCTCTTCACACTGTTGCTGCAGGAGGGTCAGCTTGTGCTGCAGCCTGTCGGGGAGAGGCAGGGGCCACTGAGCTGTTGGTGCAGCCCAGCCACACCAGGGCAAGAAGGTGGGAGTCAACCTTTGCATCATTGAGTTTTAGCCCTAGCTGTTAGCTCAGAGGTCATGAAGACCATCCTTTTATTTGACAGATGGCTCAGAGAGGTAAAGTAACCTGCTCGAACTCATACCATTAGCTAGTGGCAGAACAGACACACCAGCATGGTCTTTTTACCGCTGGCTGCAGGTAGTTTTCATGCTGACAAGCATTATAAGGCTTACACTGGGGGATAAGCCTCACCGCAGGATAGAGTTTTCCTAGCTTAAGGTGAGACTAATGGCCTGTATGTATCTGGTGGGAAGCACAAGAACCTTCTTGCTCTAGTTTCTGATATGCTGAAGGCTTTTCTAACAGGATTTCACTCTCTCAACTTTGGATGAAAAGGTTTTCCTGAAAAAATTCTTCCTTTTACTAAAAAAAAAAACCAAAAAAACAAAAACCAAACCCACTGTCATAGAGTTGATTCCAACTCATGGTGACCTATGTGTTACAGAGTAGAACTGCTCTATAGGGCTTTCTTGGCTGCGATCTTCACAGAAGTAAATTGTCAAGACTTTCTTCCACAGCATCGCTGGTTAGGTTTGAACCACCAACCTTTAGGTTAGTAGCGCAAACCATCTGCACCATCCAGTGACCTAAAGTCACCCATAAATCAGGAATAGGCAGAGGAGAAAATGAGGTTTCCAAAAGAGGCCATTGACTGTCTTGCCAATATCTGTTCTTCTAAATCTGAAAATGGGGACACCTTCCCTAACAGTGGGCCCACTCTTACCAGGAATCTTTCTCCTGGAGGGATAGCCGTTCCTCCCGGAAATGCAAGACCTCCTTCTGCTTCTCCTTCAAGTCCTCCAAAAGCTGCCGCCGTTCCACCTTCTGGTGCTCCAGCTCCATTTCCACCTCTTGAAGCCGGGATCGTGAGGATCGCAGAGCATCCCTCAGGCATTCAGTTTCCTGGGAGTGCTCTGGTGAGCAGAACATAAGGGTATTTATATTGTGGGGCCAAGGGTCAGCAGGAAGATGAGTCCAAGCACATCTGTCCTGACAAGCAGAAGGAAGGCAAAGGGAAGGAGGGTCCTGTGTTGGTGGACAAAAAGAGTGTCGGCTCACTATATCCACACACCCTAGGGAATGGTGCTCCTCTACTTTGCAATGTCTGTGACCCTCTGATTTAACATGGCCTAACTTGCTCTTAGGGAAAACATTCTGGTTTCTAACACTTATCATTGTCTAAGTGCTCACTTGCCATCTGTTTAACAATCAATTATTGCATTTTGCCAAAGATCAACATCAAGACTTCTTGTCTACAATTTTTAGAAGATATTATTTTCATAATTGAGAAAATTAGGACATTTGCTCTTTTAGGGGCTTGAAGCATCTCTCTGATCTTCATGATTTCTCAAAGATTATTGACAGGGACTCTGAGAACTTCTGTGAGTCCTCTGGGATGAAACTCACCTGGATGTGGCAAATGGTACTCATTTGAATCTCATACTACCTTCTCACTTGTGAGATCTGTTCTATTCTTCCCAAGCATGCAGTGGTACTTTAGGAGTCCTGCCTTCTCTCTTATCTATTAGCTTTAGTTCTCTTCTCCAGGAAGTGACCTTCATCTCGTCTTCTTACTCTGAAGTGACTAATTTAGAAATATCTCTTTATTTTCCTTTTCCACAAGCATTCTTTCATTCTGGGCTTAATCCTTTTGGACACTATTATTAGTCTTTTATGGCTGTACAGTAAATATTTGTAAATAAAAATAATTTGTTATTGATAATATATTGATTTGATCAACTCAATTAACACTAGGCTCTGCTGCCTCTCAGACCACACAGGAAATGATGCCCACATGCATGCCCACTGAGTAGGGCTGGAAAAGCTCTGCGGAAAGTGTTGCTAGTGTCTCCAGACATAGAGGCATCAGGACCTGAGAAGGGAGCCCTGAGTGTTTGAGTGAGGGGCTGTGGCGAGGAGACACAGAGATGACAGAGCTGCAGTAACATGTGGAGAAACTTGAGAGGGAATACAGGTACTGTCCTTTCTTCCTTTCCTGGTTTCAAATCAGCAGTGAGTGGCGGGAAGTAGAAATGACACAAAACTGGTATCCAATTAGACAGCTAGTGACTCTGGATCGGCAGCGGGGTGTGTATGGAAATGATGGATTTCACAGAGCTATTCGCTCCTGAACCCTCAGGGTCTAAGGGCCCATAGTTGGGACCTCTCAGGAAGTAGCCCTTTCTAGACTGAGAATAACTGTGGGAATGTTGGGTTGGTGGATCTGGGCAGCTCTGTTATTGCCACCTTCTTCTCTGTGCTTCTCCCATTGGTGATTGGTGTGGACAGGGAAAATAGGGTTCAGGAAGTGGCCACAGTCTGTGGTGTTTGACCACCTACCTCGGGAAATGTGATTCATCTGAGCCTGAAGGCTCCGGTTTTCTTCCCTGAGGACCTTGTTCTCATTGTAGAGCTGAGGGATACAGTCCAGGCCCTGACTGCAGAAGTTAGTGGAGGATCCTGTCCCAGAAAATGCAATCAGGCAAGTTACAAATTTGGGTAAGAGAAGCTTTCAAGAATTTCCCATTCTGTAGCTCCCAAAGGTACTGTCACACCCAGCAGAAGGCCCTGGGACTGAAGTATGATGGGATGCATGCTTGGTTTTCATGTGTCTCTCCTCAGTGGTACTTGTCATGCAGTATTACCTGCCAGACCTGCAGTTGTGCAGGAGGCTCTTTCCCCCTAAATAGCTGCTGCTGTGGTGTGGGCAGGACAAGGATGTGTGCAAGGGATGGCATCCAAGTGATAGGAACCCACAAGAAGAGTGTAGGGAGAAAGACCACCTCCGGGAAGTGGTGGGGGAGGAGAGCCTTGAAGACCTGGGCTCTACCACTTGTCAGTCACACAACAAGGGCACAGAGAAATCAGTAGGCTGTATATCAGCAGTTAAAGGATGGGATGAGAGGTCAGACAACTCTGGGACCACAACTAGTTCTGCCTTGAGGAAAGTCACTCTGCGCTCAGATACATCCATAAAGTGGGGATAGTAGTACCTACCCCATCTCCCTTGCAGGACTCTTTGTAAGAACAAGTGAAATAAAATGGACCAAAGTGATTTAAAAACTGCAAAGCCTGCCTGAGTGTGCTGCCTCCAGAAGCTCCCTAAATGTAGCCCCCAAATAGGAAGACCAGGTCTCTCGTACCACTTTCGCGGGCAGTGGAGCTGAGCCGGTATTCCAGCTGTTCCCGCAGGCGGTCGTTGATGCAGATGGACTCCTCCAGGCGCTGGCGCAGGTTCCGGATTTCACCCAGATGCTCCTCCAGCAGGTCAGCTCCTGCAGCCATGCCAGTGGGGCAGGGAGATGAGTAGGAGATGGAGAATTGTGGTCATTAGTAGGGGTGGGGAGCAGAGCTTGGCCAGCAGCCCCTCAGCAAGATCCCTAAACATCACCATCCTTCTGCCAATTTCATCTTCTCGTGGGTACCCAGGAAAGACAGAAGACTTTGTCTAAAGAGTGAACGGGCTTTAAACACAGGATGACCCAAAGCTAGACAAACTCGTGGGTCTGGTAAGTTTAAGGGAGGTCCACATGGGTTAGAAAAATAACTTCAAGCTCCTGCCAGGCCTGCCCAGCTCCTAGAAAGGTGTGGCTGCCTCCCAGGCATGAATTTGAGGGTGACAGGGAAGGCCTTACTCTCTATCATAATTCCTTTCTTCTTACTGATGTGTGACTGAACATTCTTTAGCAGGGGGTCAGAGCCCTTCCACCCACCTTTAGGTAAAAGTACATGAACTTAAATTATCCTATGTGGTTAATGACTGATCCTCAATACTTCCCTCAAATCACTTTTAATATGGAAGGAAGAAAGGCGAGCCTACAGGGATCTAGGGATCTGAGGGTGGACCTGAGGAAGAAGGAGCACACCCTTCCCCACAGGAACACCTCCCTCCACCAAAGAAAGGAAAATGATGTACAAAAAGAGAAGGAGAAGGGATGCTAATGACAGACAACATCAACTCCTCCATTCTGCTTCAGGCTCACTCTTTCTCTGAAAATTACAATTATCTCACTGTTGGAACTGAGCTGCATCCAAACATTCACCTATACTTCTCCATTTGGTGTGATGTGTCTTTGCCCTGACCATGAGTGCGAGGATTGAGAGGGAAAGATTGAATTGCACTTTGTGCACAGGATATACGTGTATAGGGGGAGCTATTGCAGAAATGACTTCTCTTTCTCTAACAACTCCTGTCTATTATTCCTGACTGTAGAACTTTTGGCTGAGGCTAGGGGAGGTTCTATGTAAGGCAAGTGGTGATTTGGATCTCACGCAATATGATTCAAGGAAATGTAAAATCTTATCACTCTTGTCCAAAGAATCATTTAGCACTCTTCAATGGAGGGTAGTAGGACCAGTAGATTTCTTTGGTGACTTCCAGCTCAAAGATCCTATGAAATCATGGGCATTTCCCTTGAACCCCATCATCTTTGCTTCTATGTAAACGTGAATGTTCGTGTCTGGAGTTCTTTGAGTCTAAGACTGGGCTGAGAGGGGGTCAGGGTGCAGAGAGGAAGAACAACATAAATGTCAGAGCACAAGAGATGGGTCCCTGACTTTCCCATGTGCCTGCAGAGTCCTGAGGCCCTGGGCAGGGAGGACAAAGGGATGCCCATAGAAAGGACCCAGCACTGGTGTGGAACCTTACTCTCTGGATGATATATGTGATAGGGCCCTTTTACTTTACACCCATTCTATGAACCAGGCAGGAAGAGAGTAGATTCTGAATTAGAGTTTATTTCACAGGTTGACTCTCCCTGCTTTGTGCTTTACCTGTGGGTTTGGAGTTAAGCTGGTACATAGAGGAGCCTATGGATAAGTCCCCAGATACACTCCCTTTCTGAGGTCTCATCATGTCCCATGGTCCACTGCTGCCCAGGTACCCAGGTTCCAGGATTCTGTCCAGGTCTCTGGTGCCCCTCAGAGGAGAGTGGGGCTGGGCAGAGTTGAGGTGGTGGGAAGAGCTGGCTTCCAAATGATTACTTGGCAATGTAGCCAGGGAAGCAGGAGGGCCAGTGCTGACACCTGGCCAGAGAGAAACAGGAGTGAGAAACACCGTGATCAGAGGGAAGGGTCAGCAAGGGAGAGTGTGATTGCTAAGAACAGAAACTAAAGGGGACCATGTGGGATGGCAGAAATCCTAGCCCCTATGGAATAACAAGTAAATGGAGACTCACAACCTGAGACTGTAACTTTCACCCCATGAATTCTAACATGAAACAACAAGAAGTAGTGGATGGATAAAGTATTTGAAAGTCACCAGTGTACACAAAGTAAATGTCCACTGACCCAACTCTTGGTTTCTACTATAAGTCCTCATGATAAAGTACAGGGAAGTTCCAGAAGTAGAACTCACTCTCAAAGTCAGGGGTCAAGAGTATAATAGGAGATGGCATACTTGTGAATAGGAATATCTATTTGCCTACATGTATTTGCCTTCCCCAGGAAGATAACCACCCAATTTTTCCATTTCTTCCATGGGGTTGTCAGAAGAAGAATGGGGCATGAAATCTAGCTGGATATGATAGCCCCCATTATTCCAGACTGTAGAACTTTTGGCTGAGGCTAGGGGAGGTTCTATGTAAGGCAAGTGGTGATTTGGATCTCACGCAATATGATTCAAGGAAATGTAAAATCTTATCACTCTTGTCCAAAGAATCATTTAGCACTCTTCAATGGAGGGTAGTAGGACCAGTAGATTTCTTTGGTGACTTCCAGCTCAAAGATCCTATGAAATCATGGGCATTTCCCTTGAACCCCATCATCTTTGCTTCTATGTAAACAGAAGCCTAGCTTGGGAAAGGGAAAAGAGAGGTGGGCAGGGCCATAGTTAAGGAGAAGTTCTGAAGACTGCTTTCTTCCAGGGATTATCACCATGGGCAGCAAAGTAATCAAGTAGCTCCACCTAAGGAAGCAGGAGTGGGGTCAACTGATCCTCTAACCAAGCCAAATTCATCAGAGGTATTAATGAAATTGGCACCTGACATTTTTATCCTCATTTTTTCACAAGCTTGGCAGCATACTGGAATTACTTGGGAAAATGTAAAACAAAATTAAAAAAAAATGTACTGATGCCTGGACCCCTGAGTATTTTGCTTTAATTGATATGAGGTGCGGCTTGGGCATTCAGTGTTTTAAAAATCATCCTAGGTGATTCTAACAGGCAGCAAAGTTAGAGAAGTATTGCCATTGGTCTCTCCTTCACCAAATTGCAAAATACTAGTGGTTCATTAGCATCACTGTGAGTCAAAGAGGAAGATGAAAAATTCAAGCATCTAAATTCTAATAGGGATTCTATAAAGATGTGATTTTGTACCTCTGTCACACCCCCTTCAATTCCACCCCAACACAAGGCAAAGGGAGAAATCAGCGGTGTTAGACCATCAGCTTACTTTTTAATCAAGGTCATAGGAGGTTCCAAATCTCTCAGTAACAACAACTAGTATTCTTATGTTTCCATCTCCTGTGGCCACACGATACAGAGCACATGCGCTAAGCCATGCAAAGACACCACACAGATCACCCTCTAGCACAAGGAGATATTAGTCCCACAGTGACCTGAGAAGCTGCCATGCTGTACTGTCCATGAGAAACTTGGTTCAAAGCAAACAAGGAGTGCTGGTGAGCAGTGGTCCCTTTAGGAGGACCATGCCTTCAGGTGGGAAAAGAAAGGGCTACAATCTTCCTCACCAAGGCTAGGACTATTCAAGTTCTGATCAATGGCTCAGACTACATGGGACTCCAGTTCTACTCACATCAACAAACACTTTTTCATGCCCACTGCTCTCCTTCCATCCTTGCCTTGAGACAAACAGAAGCTGACAAAATGTGGAAAGAGGAGAAAAAGGAGGCAAGGTCGGGGGGGAAGGAAGCCAGAGAATACTCCTGCCATTTTGGCACGGGACATATTTGCTACTGGTTGATGCCAGAATCGCTAAGATAACGAGTTCGAAATCAATAATAATAGCACCTTCCACTAATCTCAAAGAGAGAGAAAAGATTATGGTACAGGACAGTTGCATGGGGCCTTCAGAATTTGTTCAGCTGAGCTCAACCCCACACTGTGAGCAGAATGGTAACAAAACCTTCCTGGGCAGAAAAGCTATAATGGAAAACACACTGAACTGGGAGCAGAAAAATCTGGATTCCAACCCATCTCTCCCACTTACTAGTAGTGAACTTGACCAAGTAACTTCACTTCCCGGAGCCTTAGTTCCCTGCACTGGCTCTATTTGTCACAATAGGAGTTTTGTGAGGATCAAGTAAGACCATGTTAATGGTGCTGAGCAAGCACTAATTGCTGTACCTGTGTAAAGAGTTAGCAGAAGAGTTAGCCTCTTAGACTTCACTGCCTACAGAAAGGTACCGGTACAAATTCTCCTAATAAATGGTCTTGGTCTAGCTGGGTTCTGGCAATCAAATTAGGGAAGAGTCAAAAGAGTATCCATTCTCAGGGCTGACAAAAGAAATAAGCTTGTCCAAATGACATTTGGATACAAATTATAGGCAGTGATCTTAGGTCACTGGACATCCTTTGCATGGTTGCCCTTGCTATTACTCATCCAAGCTTATTTACAGGCACATATGTGGTTTTGAGGTCATTTGCAACTATTTTCTAGTATTTTTTAAGTAGTACTAGAGAGCAAATTCATCCAAAAATAAGTTTTTTCTTTTTTTTTTAAGCCATAAATGGTCCCACACAAAAAAAATTTTATAATGAGGAAATGAGCCCATAAATACTTCAACCCCTTTTCTAAAAGATGACTCTACACAGTCCAAGAGTTACATGATTGCATAAGATCAATTATCTTCAGGAATCATTAGTCAGAGTTCACAAACAGACATCACTCAGCCTCTTCTCCTGGTTCTAGCTACCCATGTGCCACCTGTCCAGAGCAGGGAAGAACCTTGAGCCACAGAAAAACGGGCTTTGTCACCTCTTCTTTTGAACTCCTCCACCACCACCATTTAGCCCCCAACCTGATGACGTCAGGATCTGACTTGTTAGAAGCATTTCACAGCAGGAGGATATAATAGCCAGACAAAAGACCCCAGAGAATGTGGCCACTTTTTTCATAGCCACCTCATCCTGCATGTTGTTGTGTGCTCTCGAGTTGATTCTGAATCATAACGACACTATCCTGCATAGACAAGGCATAAAGCATCCCTCTGCACCCTACCAGTAAACATTTCAGCAGTTAGTCGGGCTTTAGAACTTCTGGTGGTACCCAACACTGTCAAAAGTACATGGGCGCCAGTTCTACAGCCTGGTGAACATATATACTTATTAACTGATTAGACATACCCCAGAAAAATAACAATAAATACATTTCCAAAACAATATGCAGAGCTTTCCCTCAATTTTCCATGTGTAACATGTACCCCTCTGTTGCTGTTTGTTTAAACTACGCCAACAAGCCACGCCATGCAGAGCACCCCAGTGTGAGGATGGCAGTCGCAAACACACAAATGCAGCAGGAGATGCTCACTTTCTCCCAGCTGCTTCTGCAGCAGCTGCAGCTCCTGTTGAGCCTCGGCCAAGGAGAACCCCAGTGCCTCAGAGCAGCCAAGGAGGGGAGGGCCAGGGGAGCTGAAGGGCAGGAAGTTGGGTGAAGCTGAGGGCAACACAGCCAGGGGGAAGCTACTCAGCTTGGGCATGGAGTTAAAATGAAAGCCTAGAAACAGAAATTTGGGGAGAAAGGAGACATATCATTAGAAAGTGAGAGAAGCAAGAATAGATAAAAGGTTGAGAAAGTGAAACCACTCCCTGACCAGATGTCTCCCTGGGCAGTGGCTGTCATTCAATGTTGTGCAGGCTGAGATGGCTAAGGGTGATCATTCCTACATAAGGGGCTGGCCTGGCTGATCCTTTCATCTCTTCCCTGACCAGGGCAATCCTGCACACATATTTTATGTGCAGCTTGAAAGTAAATGGGTACAGAAGGCAAGATGGGATTTCTGTAACATGGGCAGCCACCTTAGTGCCCCCTAGCACCCCTCCCCAGTAATCCAGGGCATGGCTAGCGTAAAATGGCTGCACTTGGATGCTCTCCAGGTCCCTGGGCTGTTGCCCCCAGCATGCACCAGCTCTTGCTCCTATGGCAAGACTCTCCCTACACCTAGAACTCCTCTTTGAAATCATGAGGGACCACACTGAGGAGGGCAGGAGCGGATGAGGACTATGGGGAAATTTGCAAAAACAGTGCAGTTCAGGAGTCTGATGGAAACAAACTTCAGAATCTCAAATCAATGTGTTCATTCACCAAATGAGAAATAAAGATCTTGGCAAAGTGGCTTAGACACAATGGTGCAAACCTGTTGGGCATTAGAATCACTTAGGAAAAACTCTTAATAAATGCAGGTTCTCTAGGCCTTAATGCATACCTGTTGTTGTTGTTCATTGCCATGGAGTTGATTTCAGCTCATGGCCACCCCAAGTGTGCAGAGTAGAACTGCACTTACAGGATTTTCAAGGCTGTGATCTTTCAGAAGCAGAACTTACTTACTTACTTCCAAGGTGCCTCTGGGTGGGTTTGAACCTCCAGCCTTTCAGTTAATAGTCCAGTGCTTAACCATGTGCGCCACCCAGGGACAACTGAACAATAAACTCTGAGAGTAAGGCTTGGAAGTTTCCATTTTTAAAAGTCTTCACAGGTGATCAATATGCAGACCACCTACAGACAGGTGTTTAGGAACGATGGGAAGTTTCGATGTTTAAATCTGTCCCCGGGTTCCTAAACACAGTTGTAGGGTAGGGAGCCAGAGGAGGGAGCTGAAACCAAGACTGATCTGTGAAGAATGCCTAATGTGAAGGACAGTGGTTACATTCTAAAATATGTCCCTTGCACCAGGATGCTGACACCGTATCAATGCAAAGGCACCCAAATTGCCAAGTAATAGACCCCAGGCATCCTTTAGGGAATCATTCTGATTTTAAAACTTTGATCTTCTGCTCAAAGGAGCCCTGGTGGTGCAATGGTTAGCTACTTAGCTGCTAACCAAAACGTTGGCAGTTTGAACCCACCCAGTGGCTCCACAGGAGAAAGAGGTGATCTGCTCCTGTGAAGATTGTTGTTGTGAGGTGCCATCGAGTCAGTTCCAACTCATAGCAACACAGTGTACTACAGAACAAAACACTATCCAGCCCTGCTCCATCCTCATAATCATTGCTATGTTTAAGCCCATTGTTGCAGCCACTGGGTCCATCCATCTCATCGAGGGTCTTTTGTTCTGGAATTCCTATTCTTTACAATGTTATCCATAATTTGTTATGATCCACACAGTCGAATGCCTTTGCATAGTCAATAAAACACAGGTAAACATCTTTCTGGTATTCTCTGCTTT